CTGATGGTGATGGGAGGATATTGCTACCGTTTTCTCTATATTAATAATTAACTTATTCCTTTCGAACCACTCTGTGAGTGTATTTATTGTTTCACTTATTTCCTTTTGGACAACATCGACCATATTCCCTGACATAAAAAGACTGGTATCGTCGGCAAAGAACGTTGGTTTTCCCTGCTGAATACCTGCTTCTAAATCATTGATATATAGCAGAAACAAAACTGGTCCAAGAACAGAACCTTGCGGGACTCCATGACTTACGGGTCTTTGTTGTGATAGCCAGTTAATGCTTTCCTTGGTTTCTCTATCCCTATATGTAATTTCTACTTTTTGTTCTCTTCCTTCCAGATATGTTTGAAACCATTTAAGCGCAACCCCTCGTATTCCCATTCGTTCCAGCTTCCTTAACAGTATATCATGATCGACTAGGTCAAAAGCTTTAGATAGATCCAAAAATAATCCTATACCTATTTCCCTCTCATCCAATGAGTCATATACGTTCCCTAAAAAATCAGCGATTGCAGTCTTTGTTGTTTTCCCATTACAGAAGCCATGCTGCTTGTCATTGATTATGCTGTAAATATTTAAGAATGATAAAAAGTCTTTTATACACGACTTTTTCCATAATTTTTGAAAATACAGAAATTAGTGATATAGGTCTATAGTTAGCGACTTCTGTTTCGCTTCCTTTCTTATACAAGGGTTTGACTTTTGCAATTTTAAGCTGGTCTGGGAAGTGTCCGGTTACAAGTGACAAATTTATTACATATGTCAAAGCAGTTATAATCTTGGGATAGCATTTTTTGACAACATACTCTGGGATATCATCTATACCTGCAAATTTTTTTGTTACACTAGGAGTAACTTCTACCGTAGAAAATCCTGCTTTTTCGAAACTCTTTGTCACAGTTTCTCGTAACAACTTCTTTACTGCTTGACTTATCCAAATAACCGCATCTAGAACCGAGACAGTTCTTGCAAGTTCAGAAGCGGATGATGTAGGATGTAGAATCTATATTGACGAGCAAAGATTGCATTAACGGCCTTCAATGGTAGAATTAAAATGCAAAACCGGCATGTTTTGTTGTTCTTGGATAACGCAACATGCCATTCCCATATCGAACTTTCCAACGTGCGACTTGCTTGGTTCCCTACAAACCAAACACCACCAGGGTTTCTTAACCAATGGATGAGTGCATCATTCGGATTGTTAAGGTCCACTATCGTCAATTACAGTATTAAAATGCAGTGCCAAGATAAATACGTTTTGAGGTCCAAATATACCTGAGAGGTGAACGGGTGCAAAAGGTGTCGCCTTCAGTAACATTCAATGACAAAATATGTGTTAAGTAGGATCAAATATGCATAGTGTGGGCCATGCAGAGTAACTAACGGTGTCCAGTGTTGATCCGTGGTCTCCGTGGTCCTTTCCTTTCGATTGCTTTCGATGCTTGACTAGTCTGGCTAATCGGTGAGGTCGGTGAGGTCGGTGAGGTCCGCGATTTGCTGCAAGCGAAACGCCTGAATTAGAAATGGAGGTGACCATGTGCTGTGATTATTAGTATTTTTAAATAACTAAAAATGTTTGTTCCGGACGTAGAAATAATTGTTGGAACTTACGAGGAGTTTCTGTTGGGATATAAAACTATTAAAAAGGAAGACGCGGTAAGTTGGAAGAAGAAAGTTTCGCTTCAAAAATTTATGTAAGGTTAAGAGTGACAGTATGCCTGTTTTCTTCAAATTTCAGAAATGTTATTTAGTTCAGAGTTTTGCTGACCATTCCCATCGAGCAAGTATTCGAAGTGTGTGCGCAAATGGTAAATTTCTGGCATCAGGGAGCGCAGATGAAACCATTCATGTTTATGATATGAACGCTCGCAAAGAATCGGGAATCCTTGTTCACCATATCGGTAAGGTAAAAGAAGACGAAACATACAATATGTAGCATAGAACTAAACTCAAGGGATTATGTGATGTATATTCAGCTGGTAGCAAAGAAGAATTTCTGTAGGCAAACGGATTTTGTGTTCTCATTGCATGAGGTATAGTTGTTGTTTTATGTCACGTTAAAAGTAGTGCAGTTGTTCAATTTGTTTCCGTTACGTAAATCCAGATACAGGAAGACACCATAGGATATGGAACAAGTCAAATACAATATAAATACCATGACATCTATCAAGTAGAGCACACTACAGATTGCTGACAAATGCAATCTCCATTTGTTGACTTCATTACTAGAGAATGGAAAACATAGAGTGTTAGCAAATAAAACTGATCAGCTGTAACCTGTCTTATATTGGCTGTTATAATGCTGTAACTTAGTGGCAACTGAAGCAGAAGTACATGGAGCGGCTATAAAATAACAGGACTGATGCTCTAAGATCTGTTATTCAACTAATCATACAATGGAAATGTTATCACCTTCAAAGTGGTCTGCTCCCCAACCCCTACACTGCTCCATGCGAATTCACCAATGTTGGAACCAATGCTGCAGGTCCTTTTCTGATAGCTTCTTCACTACCTCTGTTGCCTTTGCCTACACTGCATCTGTGGACTCGAAATGGGTTCCTTTTAATGCAGACTTGTTCTTTGGCAGTAAAAAGAGGTAACATGAGGCTAGGTCAGGTGATTAGGGTGGATGTTCCAATATGGCAATCTTGTGCTTTGCCAGAAATTGACAGACAGTGTGTTGTGTGCCAGCTTGTCATGGTGAAGAATCCGCAAGCCCTTCCTCCACATTACAGGTGTTTTTATTCACACCCATTCATGAAGAATTGTCAAAACCTCCTTATAGCTGATCTGGTTAAAGGTCTGACCTTCAGGCACGCAACTAATGTGAACAGTTCCCCAGATACCGGAAAAAGAAGATATCATTGCTTTGAAATTTGACTTCCTCTTCCATGCTTTTCTTTTCTTTCTCCCCCCCACCTGGGACTCTTCCAGTGCATGGTTTGGCACTTAGTTTCCAGGTCATACTGAAAAAACCTTGATTCATCACAAGTTATTACATTTCCTAAGAAGTTTGGATCATTTTCAGTGTTTTGAAGGATGTCAGCACAAATTTTCATTTGAGTTTTCTTTTGCTCAGGAGTGAGGATTATCGGCACCATTTTTGAGCACACTTTTTTCATGTTAAAATGATCATGTAAAATCTGCTGAACACTTTCTTTATCAAGTGTTAGCTAATACAGCAACTGCTCGAATGCCCAAGCAACGATTTTTTCAAACAGTTTCACCTACTTTTTCAATGTTAACATCTGCTTTTGATGTGCAAGCCCGACCAGGATGCGGATCAACTTCAGTCTCTCCTCTTCTCTCTTTAAATATTTTGGACCACTTGAGAACTTGAGTACAAGATAAACATTCATCACTATAAACTTCCATCAACAAACTGTATGTTTCTTTAGCTGATTTTCCAAGTTTTGCAAGGAATTTCACATTGACATGTTGCTCTACTGTAACACTTAGCATAATTCTGATGGATCTCAGATACACAATACACTTCAAACAAAGGCTGGTACCACACTTTTGGCTGTATGGTCTTGGAAGTTGTAGAGTTGATGGAGAGGAGAGGGCAGGCTAATATGCCACCCCACTCACTGTTGCCAAGGCCACAGGGATTCAGCAAAAAAATCAATCCAGTTATTTTATAGCTACTCAGTGCAGTGATTATGTTGTGAAAATAGGTGCAAAAATGGTACAAAATAGTTGTCTAATTAATAACATTTTTTTTTCTCTCCATATGGCTGTCCAACCCTTTGGATCTTGGCTGTTTTTTTTTTTCAGTTTCTTAATCTATACACAGTCGGTAGGACTGTTTCAACAGGGGATTAGCCCGTAGCAGGGCTGCTGCTTACAGAAAGAACAGCACAAACACAGAATAAACGCACACAGACATCCATGCCTTCAGTGGGATTTGAACTCAGAGTCTCAGTGTTTGAGCAGGCAAAGACATTTCATGCCCTAAACTGCTCATCCACTATGATCTGCAGTTAACAGGGTTTGCAGCTGGAGCTTAATGTGTGACTTTGGCTCTCAGGAGTAGGCTACATCGCATGCTGAGGGTTTCCAGCATTGTGGTAAAACTTACAGTTGCCATCTGCAGGGTTGGGGGAGGAGGTGAAACTGATGCTGGATGAACAGAGTAGCAGGATGCTAACCAGTAGGGAGTGGCCTTAGTGATGAAAACTGTGTCAGTGACTACATGGTTAATAAAAAGAGGTGATAAAAAATGTTGTGGCAATGAGGTTGTCCTGAGAAGAGCCCCAAGTTTAGGATAAGAAGTGATGGAAGATTGTTTTTTTCCCTGCTTCCTTCCTCATCTTTCTCCTTCTCCCCATGTGGATAGGAAGGGGAGTTCAGTGATTACTGGATGAAGGTTGTTAACTGGAGAGATGTGATACCAGGCTTTACTCAGTCTGCATCCATTTTCACAGTTAATTTAGGGGTGATGTTTTGTTATTTTGATGGCTGTTTAACCATGAAGGCAGATGCCACTTGAGTGAAGCCTGGCTCCAACTCTTTCCCCCTGAAACCCACCAGTGAACCAGCTTCATGGAACAGTCACAGAACTCCATTTCCTGTTTGCATAGACAGAAGGAGAGAAAAAGAAAATGGAAAAAATAAAATATGAAATCTTTCATCGCTTCCTGTCCTAAACATGGGGTTGCTGAAACTTCTTGTCAAGACCAACTGGTTGCCAGAACGTTTTGCATCACCTCTTTTTAAGTTCACCTGAACTCTGGAACATTTTTATTGCCTCTTTTCACTAACCACATGGTTGTTTCTTGTTGGTTAGCATCCCTCTGTTTTGTTCATCCAGTCATAATTTCACCTCTGACATGCTGTGTAATGTAGGATCTACGAGGGGGTACCCAAAAGAAACCGAACTTATTTTTTTTTAAACTTATTTATTGAAATTTTAAGCACAAACCTTCAATCCCCTTCAAAGTACTCTCCACTTACACTAATACACTTGTCTAGTCTTTTATTCCATTTTTCAAAACATTGTCTAAATTCATCTTTTGAGATGCTTGACAGCGCCTCCGTTGTTTTTTCCTTTCATGTCTCTTTTCATTCGAGGAAACAAAAAAAAGTCGCACAGGGCAAGGTCGGGTGATTATGGAGGGTTAGGAACAGGGGTCATACCATTTTTGGTCAAGAATTGTTGTACAGACAGGGCTGTGTGAGCAGGGGCATTGTCATGATGGAAAAACCAATCACCCGACTGCCACAAATCTGGCCCCTGAGCTCCAAGTCACTCCTGACAGCTCCACAATTCNTTGCAAAAACGACGATCAAACAAAACAGTTGTCACTATAAACTCTGCTGAAACTAGTCCTTACCTTCTGAAGCAATGGTAGTCGGCTTATCGACTCAGGAATGTTAGCTCTATGCGCTCATAGCGGCAAAACGCGGTACTACAAAAGCTCTGCCCACAAAAAAATTAGTTCGGTTTCTTTTGGGTACCCCATCGTATATAACAGCCGTCACAGACACACATACACACACACACACACACACACACACACACACGTGTGTGTGGAGGGCTGAAAGTGATGACTGAACATGGCAACGGCATATCCCTGGAAGATATCAGCCAGGATTATGAATTGTGGCATCCTGTTGTATATGACATTAAATAAAATTTCTCTGTGGGGTAGAAGTCCACAACTGAAAAGACAGAAATATTGTGTAATGCTATATTGATGGTTTTATATAATAAAATATTAGTCAGCACCTGCTGATTGTAAGTATGCAGTGTTACTACTGCACCAACTTATCTGGTCCATGTTCTGCTTGTTCTATTAGCATGCCATTCTCTCTCTGAGATGCCAGCACCTGAATGAGTTGAATGAAAAACAGAAATAAAGTGTTCTCGCAATCATTTTTCTCTGCAGAGCGAGGGAGGAGTTTGAGGTAGGTGAGCTGAGGAGTTGCCCACATACAGAAGTTCCTGCCGCAAACATGGGCCTGCTTTTATTTTACTATGCTGGTGTGAAGATGACTAGCATATACGAGGGTTGGAACTTTATTAGTGGCAACACTGCTGTAGAGATGCCATGCAATGGAACCAAATAATGTCGCTTATACCACACGTTAGTTACATACCTACCTTACCTCAGAGCAAATGGACTCTCCCTTCCCACATCACGTGCATGCGCAGTGATGAGAAGAACAGCCTCGTGTTAGCTGGTGGTCTAATGTAGTATTGTCACAATGTTTTTGAAACAGGAACAACGGAGCTGGATAAAGATTGAATGTGCCAGAGGCTGTAAAGCACGACAGTGTCATCAAGGTCTTCAAGAGGCTTGCAGGGAATCTGCATTGCCTTACAGAACAGTGGCAAGGTGCGTAAAAGCCTTCAACGAGGGATGCCAAAATGTGGCAGACATGCGTCAGCCAGGTCGTCCTAGTGTCAGTGAAGAAGTGCGTTACTGAAGAGTGATCGACACCATACAATTCGTGAGCTGGCCCGAGAGACAGGATTAGCACATACGACTGTGCTTCACATTCTGAAGGTACGCCTGGGCATAAGAAAAATTGCATCACGATGGGTTCCACATGATTCGACAGAAATGCAGAAATGGCTACAATACGATGCTGCTGGTAACCATGTGGAGCACTCCGAGCATGAAGGAAAGGCTTTCTTACGCCATATCATTATGCTGGATGAGACATGGACAAAATCATACGAGCCACAAATGAAACACCAATTGAACGAATGGCATCATTATGGGTCACCGCGAAAATCAAAAGTTCATCAGAATCCCAGCAATATGAAAGTTATGGTGATTCTTGTGTATGACTGTGATGGTGTTATCCTAACACATACCGTTGCCTAACAGCAGACTGTCACTGCACAGTATTACTGTTCATTTTTGGAACACAACCTGCAACGAGCTTTAAGAAAGAAGCGGCGACACTTTCTGCAGAAGTAACCCATCATTTTGCAGGACATTGCTCAGCCGCATGCAGCACAAGCTGTGGCTGATTTGTTCAATCAATGGGGCTGGGAAGTGCTGTACCATCTGCCATACTCCCCGGACTTAAGCCCTTGTGACTTTAACTTGATTCCTAAGATGAAGGAGCATTCGCTTCAGAACTGTTTCAGAGATCCTTAAGGCAGTAGACTGCTCCATTCGAACGATCAACACAACAGGCGCTGCTAAAGGTATCCTACAACTTCCACATCACTGGCAGCGGGTTGTACACAATGCTGGTGACTACATTGAAGGACAGTAAAACTTCGAAACATGCATCTGTTTTGTATCAGTTGTAAATAAATAGTTGCCACTATTAAAGTTCCAACCGTCATATCTTAAGGACATAACAAAATGCTGAACAGGACCTCATTTTGTGAGAGTGACTCTGGTGAAGCAGTTACTCTGGTAGTGAAAGTGAGCTTGAAGATGACATTGTAATGGCAAATGATGGCAACATTAGTGGAAGCCAATGTGACTGATAGCTGTTGAGCCTGTAGGAGGGCATGGAAGTGGGCAAAACGTTTTTTCACCCCTGCATTTAGTAACTACATCATTCTGTCATCTTGTGGCTGCAGAATACATAACCAAAAGTTTCATTTGACATTGATTCAGAATGACTTGGAAATTTGTGGAAGGTAGTCACATCCTCAGTTCACATGAAGAGGAACACTAAACCCATAAACCAATCAGATATCTTGACATAGATTTCAGCATACTGAACACTGGCCACCTGTAAGATCATTCTTGTGGTGTTGTGTGTGCTCAGTGAAGGAGAAAGAAAGGGCTGCAAAATGTCAGTGTGTTGACCAGCATTTTTGCATTTAATGTAAAAATTAATTTCTAAATCAAGATTCTTGCTCAGTGTGGGAAGGAAAGCAATTGAAGTACAGGGTGGTTCATATAGAACTGTCCCGACGAAATGAGCTGTAATATAAAATATACCATACAGATATTAAAGTAATTTACACATATCTTATCTTGGATTGTGTGCTGTGATCAGAGCAGGTGTTGAAAGTGTCTGCCTTTTTCAAGTAGGCACGCCTCAACCCGCGTTTGCATATTTGCCATGACTCGCTGCAGTGTTTCTTCAGTGATGTTCCTGATTTCAGCTGAAATGTTGTCCTTTAAATCCTGTAACATACGCGGTTTGTTTGCATACACCCTGTCCTTCAGTAAACCCCAGAGAAAAAAATCCGGGCTGGTAAGGTCAGGGGATTTTGGGGGCCACATCTTTTTAGAGATGACGCAATTGGGGAAGAAGCTCTCAATCAGTTCCATGGACATGTTGGACATGTGGCACGTCGCTGAATCCTGCTGAAAATAACCCTGTGTAAGTTCCACATCATTCAGCTGCTGCACAAAATCGTAAAAAATACGGCAGTATAAGGTGCTGTCCACGGTTGTGTCGAAGAAGGTCGGTCCAGTGATTCGTAAACCAGAAATGGCGCACCACACACCCACTTTTTGTGGGTGTAGTGGTGATTCAGCAATCTCATGTGGATTTTCAGACGCCCAGATCCTGGAATTTTGTGCGTTTACATATCCTGAGAGGTGGAACCATGCTTCATCACTAAACCAAGTGATATCCAAAATTCTGGGGTTATCGTGCACAAATTCCCAAAACCATAAACCCGTTTATCTTTATCAACATCACCCAATTCCTGAACACTGGTGATCTTGTAGGAATGAAGATTCGCTTTCTTTGCAGCCCGTTGACACGTTGAATAAGAATACCTGGTTTCCTGGCTTAGATGTCATAATGATTTCTTTGGAGACTGCAGTAACCTGTCCCACACAATTGCAATCATTTCTTCTGGCATTTCTGGGTGGTTTTTACCACGTTCACTTAAAAGTGTCCCTGTCCTTTCCAATTTCTGAGCCAAGGACTGTATAGTCGATTTCACTGGCTTCTTGAGAACTCCAAACTTCCTCTTGAATTCCAATTGTGTGTTCACAATCAAGTCTGTCACCCAGTACGTGTGCACGAGAAACACTTGTTGTTCAACAGTGTACTCCATGACTGTCGCCTGCACACTGCAGACACATTTTGAGATTGTCCTTGACCTTGCAGCATAAGGGCTGCCACTTGCCGGATCATGCGCACACCATTCGACTCAGCACAGCCCACAGATTATTATGTTGTAATTGTGAGCGGTTATATGCATCACCTGCGGAATTATTAGCAAATTCATCGGGCCAGTTCTATACAATTCATCCTGTATATTCAGATCATACTAATTATATTTTCTTCTATTTCAATAAGGGTCACATGGTAGCATAGTTGATTGAGGCACTATGCTGCAGGCCGGAAGGTCATGGGTTCAATTCCTGATGAGGTCATAGGATTTTTCAGCTGACTTAATCCTGCCAACCGTACTGTGGCTCTGGGTTCCACTCAGCCTGTAACAGAAATGAGTACCAGGAATCTTCCTGGGGTTAAAGGGCTGACAACTCACCACCATCTGTGAGCCAGTTATCTAGAAAATGAGGGTCTTGACATCTCACAACCCTGTGGGCCCCTTTGGCTGTTAGAAACAATGATGTTCATAGTAGTAAAAAAAAGCACTGTCACTTGACAATTTACTATTTTTGAAATAGTTTTCACTAGAATTAGCAGTTGCATTTGTAGTTTCTTCAACGCTGGCATGCTTACAATTTAAACCCCCCTTGTTAAGATTCAGCCATCAGCACCAGTATTTAAGCCTTTAATTCCAGATGCTAAAGATTAAGTAAAATTCCTTGGTGTAATTCAGGTCCATATTGCGAAACCTTGATTTCTTAATTTGCATTTTACTCCTTAAATGTAGCCACTGTATGTTGTGTTATTGACAGCGAAAGTGACCATCCTGTGCAAATCTCTTTATGTGTAATATGAGTATATACAGTCCACTGTCCTTTGTTTATTTTACCTCTGATATATGAAAGTCTAGTAACATGAGCCTTTGATACAGGTACTGTAAATTGCCTGTCATTTTCACCAAATGGATCTCATTTACTGAGTGGCGGTGAAGATGGCAGTATAGCCATATTCCGAACTGGAAGTTGGCAGTTGGAGAAAGTGTTTGCCGAAGCTCACAAAGGTGAAGGTAAGCTGCTTAAATTTAAAACTATGAAACAAGAACATATTAATCAGCTGTGTCAGAGGAAAGATAGATATGAAAATAGGACATGCTGATTGGTTTTAAAATGTCATTGTCAAGTCATTATATCAGCAGTTTTGAGCATTTTTGAGCATTATCGCATGAATGTGTGTCTTTCTTACCGATGGTGGACTTGCCTCTTATTTCAGCCGTAACATTGCTGAGTGTCCATCCAAGTGGAAAATTAGCTTTGTCAGTGGGTACTGATGCCACCCTTCGAACCTGGAACCTTGTCAAGGGACGACAGGCCTATGCTACGAATTTGGGAAAGTAAGTAATCCTAATTCAATGCAAACCATTGACATGCTTCATGGCTCTCAGACGGCCTCGTATGCAGGTAACATTAGCTGTTTTGCCATCACCTAGTATTGTTCCCATTGTGTATGGATCAGTGGACAGAAAGCCAATTAGTATAGCGACTGGCTTCAGGCTGGATGACCGAGGGGTCGGAGTTCGAGTCCCGGTAGGAGCAAGAGTTTGGTCCACCCCACATTGTTGAGACCAGTTCTGGGGCCCACCCACCCTCCAATCTGACGGGTTCCATGAACCCTTTCCCCGGGGATAAAGCAGTTGGGACATGAAGTTGACAGCTTCCCTCCAAATTGTGTAGTGCTTAATTAGTTAAGCCCAGGGACAACTTTACTTTAATTTACCAGCAGATAGAAAGTCTCTGACCAAGTCTGTCTTCCCATGTTCCTCTGTTCTTCATGTCTCCAGAAGTTGGCAAGACCGTCTTGTTCTGGGTTGTCCCATAGATTTCTTCACTTCTAATGCCCTGCTGAGTAACATTGTTCTCTTCGTCCCTTTTGTATGACCATATCATTGTCGTTTTTCTTCTAACTGTAGTAACAATATTTGGATTCTAATCTCTTCTAAACATTTCATTTTGAATTTTTGTCCTTCATGCTTTTCCATTAATACAGGTGTTGCTTGGATTTTTCATGTGATTATTTTCATGTTTTACCTTTAAGTATTAGGATCAGTTTGTTATATATAATAAACTGTTGTTTTGTGATGTTCTGAGGTGTCTGTATTGCATAACATTTCCTGCACAGTTGACAGAATTCAGATATAGTTTTTATTGCTCTCTCCATGAACTTTGATGGCTATGGAAATGGAAGTAAATAGTTTAGTACCAGACTACATGGTGTTACATGTTGAAGACAATAACTTTCAGATATGTAAAATATGAGGTTCTTATAGCATCTGTTATGAAGAGTTCTATATTTGGGTTCATGCTGGTTTCTTGTTTAGCTTACTCTGCAGCCCTGAAGATGGAGGCAACATGTTACTCCAAATTGTTGGTTGACTTTCACCATGGCAACACTTCAGTGTTGAATTAGTTTATATGCTGGACAACAGGTTCTGTAGTATCCTTGTACAGAACTTTAATAATAATTTTAATACATGTAATTTGTAAATATTTTAATTAATCTTATGTAGTACTGGGCCAGTGGGTCTGTAAGGTAAATACTAGAAATTCCAGATGATATACTCCTGGATTCTTAAAACATTGTGAGTGAAAGGAATGTTAGGAACGTTTGTGGTTGTACTCTGTAAAATGTCTTTGTGAACTAAAGAAGTGGTTGTTATTTCAAGGAATCGCACTGGGAAGGGACGAGCTGTGTCTTGTTTACTGTGGTCACCAGATGGCAGCATGTATGTTATAGCTGTTGGTACTGAAGTCAGCGTGTACGATGTGCACACAGCAGGCATTATGCACACATTCCAGTTGGCAAAGAAGGTCACTTGCATCTGTTTCTCTCAGGTAAAGGCAGGTTTCAAATCAGACATTCAAAAGGCTGCAGAACTTTGACACACAGTTTCTGTCTCACAAGAGACATGCTGCATCTTTGTTACAAAATCAACCAATTAATGTGGTATAGGGAGATAATCACTGTTTATTGTGAGAATTCTATAGAACACACAGTTACATTGTGTGGGCAAAGTGCAGAGTTTTTCTGATGTTAAAACAGGTGGTACATCGCTGTGCTATGTAACAGGCGTGTCAAACATATTACCACATACGGACCATATTGAGATGATAGGTGTTTGAGATTGGTTGGTGGCTGGAACTACTGACATCTGCAGGCAGGATAGGAGCACTAGTTGATAAATAGCTACATTTATTGATAGTAATTATTATAATAGGTCAAAGTAAGGTCATCCCTATCCTTAAATAATGAAGACATGGGGGAGTGAATGTATCGATCCACATGTTCTTAATCTCAGCCCTGGATGAAGATGAGTAGTTGGCTTCATGTTCAAGGCACTGTACCCACAGGAAAGGAGTCCCCTCCTACACCTATTGGATCGGAGGCTGGGCAGGCCCAAGGCCAGTCGGGACAATGTGGAGAAGAGAAAAATCTCTTATCCTTGCTGGAAATCAAAGTCTTATTCCTCGGCCATGCAGCCCAAGGCCAGTCAGTGTATTGACTGAGTTATCCCAGCTTCTCACTGACAAGTATAGCTTTTTTAAATTTATGTTTTTAACAGTTTTGACACCAAATTTAGGATCAGATAGTTAGCAGTCCTGTTTCATATTTGGAAGGTCTATGTTTCAAGTCTCTACATGTAGAATGACTAACCTGAATGAGGAGTTAACCATGGCCTTCCTGTCTGTCCCTGGAAATGCCGAGACATTGCCTTAAATTAGGCTATGTCTTTAGTGAAACCTCTTCCTTTGCCAGACAAAGCATTTGACGCCCAAGGTCCACAGATGCATTGTATGGGCATAGGATATCCATCCCCAAGGAGAACTTGTTTGTGATATTGGCGACGAATACTCAAATTTTCGGTGGGCGCTGCCCCAGGGCAAGTGTCAGGGAAACTTCCTGACAGTATTATTTATAATTAATTATTCACTGTCCATCATGCCATTCAACACTATAATCACACCTGTTAAAAACCTTATTAAATACACCAAGAATAAATAAAGTAAAATATTTTTATATCAGCATTAGTTTAAACACAAAAGGCCAGTATTGTTAGTCACCTCATGTATTCTATCATTCAAATAGTTCTTGCCTGGGGAAATGACACTCTTCATTTGCACTTAGTGTGAAGATGTTGGGTTTCACTTCTTGTGCTAATACTTCTGCACTGGTTATGACAAGTGCATTTATGTTATCGTGATCCCTTGGGGTTTTTGTTTCTATTTATGAGCAAAAACAGTTGTTTGCACATGTTTGGTTTATAGACAATAAGTTTTGGGAATGATCCACAGATAAACAAGCATAAATGTTTGGCAGTTCAGTCTCACTACAGTTTTGTTTTAAAAGCCAGTTCCATTGCTGTTTGTTGAGCTCCATTTGTAGGTCTTCATCTGCCTTTGCAACATCAGAATGAAGTGGTACAATCAGCATGACAAATTCTATTTCACAGATTTAACAGATGTCAGAATCTTCAAACCTGTGGAAACAAGGGTGTTTCGAGGTTGATGTGGTTAAAAAAAAAAGGTAAAGCTATCCCTGTAACAGTCTGTAGAGTTCCATAGGATTGTGAGATGTCAAGGCTCCCACGTTTTCTAGACAGTTGGCTCATAGTTGGTTTCGAGGTTGTCAGTCTTATGTGCTGGCTGGCCAGCCTTTACTCCTAGGAAGATTCCTGGTACTCTTTTCTGTTAGAGGCTGAGTTGACCCAGAGGCCATAGTGTGGCTGGAAGGATCAGGTCAATTGAAAAATCTAATGACCTCATTTGGAATTTAACCCTGGACCTTATGGCTTGTAGCCTAGTGCCTCAGCCAACTATGCTACGGCATGCCCTAAGGTTGACCAAGACTTTAATTATTTTACAAATCCAGTATACATGCCAGAATTGCCAAGCTTCCTGGCAAGTTACTGATGCCATCAGCACAAAAGGTTTTATCTGACTGTATAGAAGTTCAGGACACTGTCTGAATTCATTGTCAGTACAAAATTTCAGTCCTCATAGGTGCTTCTTCATTGGTCCAAACAAATGGAAATCACTGGGGGCTAAGTCAGTTCTGTGGTTCATGATTTTCTATCCCACTGTTGCCATTGTCACCTTTGTCCAATTTTCCATATGTGGACCAATGTTGATCAACCCCCTGATGACGAAGGTAGATATGCTGTCCGAAACATCAGACATCTACTCCACATTTACATGGCTGATCACCAAAGATTTTATTGTGTACTGTCACTGTAAGAGCTTCAAATCACATACACGGTGTGTCCAGGATCTGTTAGCACTCATTTTTTTTAATTTTGCCCTTCAGTGTCATCTGTTGGCGAGTTGTGGCATTAAGATTCTTGAAGTTTCAGCTGTGGCTGTCTATAATTTCAAAGCACAAGCATTGCTGCATCATGTGTTCTCACCTTGAATGTAACAGTACTGTTCTGACAGTCGTCGGAAAATGGCGGTTGAACAGCGAGAGCCAACATCAAATTTTGTTTGAAGTTAGGCAGAACAGCTGGAGAAGCGCATGAAATGATGAAAGGAGTGTATGGTAGTGATTGTTTGAGTCGCTTGAACATTTTTTGATGGTATGCCGTATTTCGTGACAGCAGGGAGGACATTGAAGATGCTTCACATGCATCAAATCCGAGAACAAGTCACACTGAAGAAAATGTGAAAAATGTGACCGACATCCTTGCATCAGACAAATGTGTTTCTGCAAGACTCATCGAGGAGTTTTGGGGAATACCAAAAAGTACTGTGCATCAAATTTTGACCGAGGATTTGGGCAAATGGAAAGTCTGTGCGCGGTTTGTACCGCACGCACTGTCACGCAATGAAAAGCATGCTAAAATGGAACACTGCAAAGACATGTTACGGTTGGCCCAAAGTGATACAAAATTTATAAAATTGATTGTTACTACTGACAAGACATGTTTTCAATATGAGTGTCCCACAAAGTGGCAGAGTGCAGTGTGGTTTAGCCCAAAGAAGCCGAAACCAAAGAAAGTACGCATGCAAAAGAGTTGAGTAACTTAGTGAAGGGTGAGAATGGTGATCTGCTTGCAGATTCCCACAACATTTTGAATAGGTGGAGGATCTACTTCTCTCAGTTATTAAATGTACGTAGGGTCAGTGATGTTAGGCAGACAGACATCGATACATCTGAGCCGTTAATACCTGATCCTAGCCGTTTTGAGGTTGAAAGTGCTATTGCAAAATAAAAACGGTATAAATCATCAGCTAGTGATCAAATTCTGGCAGAACGTATTCAAGCAGAAGGCAAAATATTACATTCTAAGATCCACAATCTAATTACTTCTATTTGGCATAAGGTAACATTGCCTGATAAGTGGAAGGAGTCTATTATTGTACCAGTTCACAAGAAGGGCGATAAAATTTACTGTAGTAATTATTGTGGGATATTACTGCTATCAACTTCATACAAAATTTTATCCAATATTATTCTCTCAAGGTTAAGTCCATACATAGATGAAATTATTGGGATCATCAATGTGGGTTTTGGTGTAACAGATCAACTACACATCAGATCTTTTGCATTCATCAAATATTAAACAAAAAGTGGTAGTACAGTGAGACAGTACATCACCTATTCATAGACTTCAAGAAAGCCTATGATTCAGTTAGGAGTGAAGTATTGTACAATATTCTGATAGAGTTTGGGATACCTATGAAACTAGTTAGGTTGATTAAAATGTGTATGAACGAAACGTATAGTACAGTCCATGTAGGTAAACATTTGTCTGATAAATTTCCTGTCCAGAATGGTCTAAAACAAGGAGATGCTTTATTGCCACTCCTTTTCTACTTTGCTTTAGAATATGCCATTAGGAAGGTCCAGGGAAACCAGGTGGGACTGAAGTTAAACGGGAAACATCAGCTGATGGCCTATGCCAATGATGTGAATCTACTGGGTGATAATGTAGATACCATAAAGAAAAACACACAAACTTTAATTGATGCAAGTAAGAGGTTGGTTTAGAACAGCCGTGTCAAACACGTGGCCCCCATAGCCACAAGGTGAGGCCCCTCAACTTTTAGAGCTAATTGATA